ACCATATGTAAGCGCCTAGATGACTTACATCCGAAAAGCGAAATTCAAACATCGAGTCTTTCATTTTTCCTCATGAAAAGATGACTGCTTGTCACGAAAGAACAAACTCGAATAGAAGTGAAATTTCCAGAAGAGAAAAAATCTAGAAACAAGTTGCGTAACTTTCCCGGCTTTATGTGATTTTATTTTAAAAACTGTATATATATGGTAAATAACGAGTAAAATCGTCATTAAGTCTGATTACTCTCGAGATATGACATATGGCCCACCTCTAACTTCCATTTTTTAGAGTCTAGACCTTTATGTACCAAAAGTTAATAACAGCAATGTTTCTTACGCAAGCTACCATGCCAAATTTCGTTTCTTAATTATTACGCCCATTCTGAGATATTAAACGAAATAGATGCAACACACACATTTATATCGATACGTACAGAAAACCCACGAGTTTTTATGCATTTCTTGTCGTTTCGAGGTCCCATGAATCCAAAATGTAGAAATATCGAAGGGTCATTTTTGACTGATCGCCATACTTTCCTTCTTTTATATACAGTATAACAGAACCCGGAAACTTAAAACAGAGTAATTTTCGCAAGAGCAACAATCTAATCTATAAACACTAATTTGTCCGTAATTACTCGAAATTGTTCCTTTATATTGTGGGATTATTTCTCTCCATTCTGCATAATGAGAAATATTTCCTGCCAAGCCGAACGTTGAAGATGTAATCAATTACGGTCATTCATTTAATCTGTTCGATCTTGCCGCAACAAGTCTTCCCGTTCGTGCAATTTGTCCATTGGTTTTTTCTATGACGAATACTTATTAATACGCAATAGTTGCAAAGTGTTTCTGTATTCGTGACATGCATATGTTCATTTGTGAAATCTCTTCGCTAAACTTTTCATGGAATATATTCATTCTTTATTTAGATACGAAAAAATAATATACATGCCTAGCACTGCCAGGCACAACTAGACAGAAGATACAATAGTACAAATTAAATTATACTAAATTATAACGAAAGTTTAAATACAAAGCGTAATAGCGTGATGATGAGCAGTAAAAGAATAGCACGGTAATGTGATTGTGTGCACAAAGTGTGCATCTTTAGTACAATAATACATAAAAGTGTGATACTACAGATAACCACGTTTAGGCAATTTAAACCCGACAACGTATCTAGCGTGGTAATGCAGAAAAGAGGGAAATATAACTAAACTTTACATAGTTAACTGTAAACACTATATACAGACAACGATTGACAGCAGCGCCTCTTGCGGCAACCTCCAATATAGGGACAGAAAATAAGCTCGATTTCGACACTATATTTTCTAGCCACTGTAGCTCAGTCTAACAAGTGAGTAGCGTTTGATGTGAACTGAACGTAATATTAACAAGATGGCTCCGACTGACTTGACTGAGACAAAAGACCGGACCTTAATTAACTAGATAAACCTAGATTCCCCTCATGCATGACTGGAAACTAGATCTATGTATTTAAAATATATTTTCTACACTTTATCAAAAACTTTTACGAATTTCAGTCTTCTAAAAAGGAAAAATTACAAAAGGAATAATCAGAAAATATACATCGCACTATTTAAATATAAAAATGAGGTCAGATGCTTTTATTATAGATTAACTACAGTATTTTACTATTGAAGGCTATTGTTGCATTTACCGTCACGTGATTGTTTGAATTGTTTGCGTAATATCCTATTCAAAATATTTTCTCTTTTAAGAAAATCTGCATTTGGTATATTTTAGAGCTGGGATTAGCGATTATTTATTTAATTAATCTTTAAAAATTTTAATCGAAATAATGTTATTTTGTTCGATTTAATCTCTCTATACATTTTTTTAATGTTGATATTGAATACAGCAAATTATAATAATATTATTGTTAATAAATAATGAAAGAAACTATGAAAGTTTATTTTAAATTTTATACTACTGATTTAATTTTTATATATTAAATCAGTGGTACGTCTGAGACAAATCAGGCCGGCCGACACATTTGACACAACACTTAAGCTGGCATATCATACTGCATATGGAATACAGGAAATATTTACGGCCCTCCGCACAAGATTTTTGCTCAATTTGGCCCGCCAATTGAGAAGTTTGTAAACCACTGTATTAAATAGTTCATAAGTTAGTAATTTTGTCGTATTCTTTTAAAAACTAAAACTTCTTCATTTTCGATTTGGGAAAAGCTGAGTATTTTCGGGTTAGCGACGTTTTTCCGAATGTAAAAAATNTTCGACATTTAAAATATCTTTAAATATTAAATTAATAAACATGGCATTCAAATTTTAATAGACAGTAAAACTGAAATACTTTACGTTGAGCAAAAACTAAGTTGCGGTGGCTGGCAAACATGGCGCTAACTACGACTCTACTCGAGTGGCGTTAATTCACAATTCGTCGATCTACAAGGTACTGTACATGGAATAGAAAACCGGAAAAGTCTCATTAAAAGTCGAGAGGATGGATAATAGCGTAGTAATTTTGACACAGCACTTCCAATCAGAGGCAACAGTAACTGCCATTGGCAATACTGTTGACAACACTTGCAATGTGATAACATAAGAACAAAAACCTATAAAATGGCGGCACCTCTAGCAGTGCACGGAACAAGAACAGTATCGTGTTTATCGATTTTTTACAAAAATCAATCCATTGGTATCAATACATGCAAGTACAGTAGGGAAACGCCGATTCGAGTTACCTACAAGTGTAGGAGTAGAGTTCTAAGGATCCGAAAGCAGCCACAGTTTCGTAGAAGATTCTCTACGACTGGATCGCAGTGATTCCCGGGGAATCTTTCACAGAATTGTAGCTGTTTTTGAAACCTAGAACTCTACTCGTACACTTGTATGTAACTCATGTCGTTGTTTCCTTACTGTACTGGCATGTACCAAAGGATGGCGACTAATTTTTGTTTAAAATCGGATAACACTACACTATTCTTGTTCCGTGCACTGGAGAGGCGCGTCATTTTATTGGTCTGTAGTCTTATGTTCTAGCTCATTAACAGAGTTGCTTGCTAGAACATAAGCATCAAAATTACAAAGCTATTGCTAATCTTCCCGACTTTTAACCACACTTCTCCCTGGTTTGTATTGAACGTGCCTTGAATTTCTCCCTCGCCGACTTGCTGGTTCGTATCTCTGTTTTGCGATCTAGTATACAGAGATACGTCGTACTTCAAACTCTGTATTTGACAAAAATTCGCTTCAGAGTTTGAACTGTAGGAGCGTAAAAAAAAAATGCGCTAGAAGCATAAATGCAAACTGTCGTGCGTCCAAGTTGTCTCTCGCTGTCGCTTATAACTTGTGTTTTCAGTCCTTATTTTTTCGCTTCATTTCTCATGTGTTTGGTTAAATATGTTGGGTGCTACTCAACGAATTTTAACAATTTTCTTCCTGTAATTTTTATTCTTCGACTGCTTTTGGGAGCCAGTCGGCTGCTCTGCGGGACCCGAAATCGAATGGGGATTTTTTTGGAAGTGGTTCGTCCTGAAATGTCGGGCTTTGTTCCTCACCATCCAGCTGCCCCATTGTGTGCCTGGCCAGATCCAGACAAAAAGTGTGTCTTTTAGCAAGCCCATTATGGGCTTGCTAAAAGTCCATTGCAAGCCCATTATGCATGTTATAAATTAGCAAGCCCACTATGGGCTTGCTAAAACACTCTTAGTTACACTAAAATACCATTAAAATTTCATTTTAATTAATAAAAGAATAAATTTTAATTTTTATGAAAGTTTCTAAAGATATTTACTGAATAACACACGATAGATTAAAATTTAACTTACCAAAGATGTGAAACGAGATAGTTGAAAAGATATAATCATAAGTACGAAAGCCAGAAATATAAAATTAATAGAAAATACAAGATGCATTATACTATCAAGTTGAAAGAAAACAACTGCACAGAAGAAAAAACTTGTCTGATATATTCCGAAACAATATGCAGCAGGGATGTATATTTCAAAAACTACGTTTATTTCTTGTATATAAGTCCATAAACCCCAATGAGTTTCAATCAAACTTTCGATTTTATTCTTCAGAAAACTTTCCTCTTTTTTCAATTCATCGACTGCATCAGATAAATTCTTGAATCTCTTTGAAACCATGATGGCCGCTGCACCCATAACAAGTATGAAACACTCTAATTGTCCAATTCCGTAAATGCACATTAATGTGATATTCAGATTACAAAATGCGAGTTCAAATTCGGAATCAGTTATTTCCTTTAAAGTAGGATACAGAAATAAGTCAATTACAGTAATAACTGAAATTGTTGCAAAAAATAAAAGTGTAAGTACAGCTATAAAAACTGTTTGAATATCATCAGCAATTTTTTCCTCGCCTTCGTATCCACTGTTATTTCTAGGAATGTAAAGCCTTCTCCTTTTAAAGAAACTGAATTGAAAAGCTAGAAAAATATCAAATGTAATTAAAATAAACTTTACGACTATCATATTGTTTGGGAACATTTTGATCCATCCGACACACACCAAATTGTCTGTTACTTCTTGAGTAGAAAGTATTATGTTAGTCCACAGAAATACTTCTATAGCAGTTTGGTACAAAGGATATAACTTTGACAGATATTTGGACTTTTCGCCAGACTTCTTACAATCGCAATACGCCATTTTAATTCCAAATATTTCTAACGACCATAAGACTGGTCGTAGAAAGCAAATAATGCACAAACTGCGTTTCGTGTCACGTAAATGCATGCTTTACTCTTATCTATGAAATGACTTATTGTAAATACGAAAAATGTTAGATCATGATGCAGTTTCAGTTCCGCTGTTGTATTGCAACATATTTCACTAAATATATGACTAATGCGGGTTTTACTTAAAGGGAAAACGTCTTTGAATAAGATATTACGCAAACGATTGATTTTAGTGTTATAATACACTCACGTGATCGAAACTAGTAGCCTTCACTAGTAAATGTANACTTAAATATAATTTATAAATTTACTGACGCATAAATTTATTGTCGAACGAATGTCCTAACTTTCTACGAAAGAATCGAGAGTCAAATCTTGATGTTTCGTAAGGAGTATTTTCTTTGACTTCTTTGAGATTTCAAATTTTTCTGATAAGTTTACAATCCACTTCCTTTTTCGAACACAAAAATACCTCATTTCCTTATAATAAGTCTGCAGTTATTCAAACTTTAAAGTCAGCTGCGAGGCAATTTAATTCAATAGCTTTATTGAATTAGGTCTGTAATCTCAACTTTACAAGAAGGTTGTTTCCTTTTAATTAAAAGTTCTGTCAACACAGACAGCGATGAATATACGGCACTCAGAATCTGTAAAACAATATTTATAAAATTATTATATATACCTAAAGAGAGTTACCTATTTACTACGACTCTTTCAATAAACTGAATTTGTAAACTATACACACAGTTATAAATGATAATTTTACAAGTTTAATAAATTCAAACATATACAGTTTAAATTATTGAACGAACTTACTCGAATGAAGAAGTTTTTTTTAACATAAAAGAATCCTCCGACGCTTATTCCAAATGGAGTTTTACCAAATCTTTTCATAAAGTTCAGCATCTTTTAAAGAAGAAAATGTTTAATAATATTAAATTTATAGATCGATAGAAAGAATTTTAATGTATTTATAATACCTTCATTTTGGTTTCTAATGGTAAATCAGCAGAACACAATTTATCGATTTCGATGAATTTTCCGTACAGCTTGACAAATTAAAATAATTATCATAAACAAAAATTGTAAAATTGGTATATAAATTCTTATAAATTACATTGTAATTGATGAATCAATTTCAATATTATATTATATTATATTACACTTATATTAGGAATGCTTTTAATACACTCGCCAGGTTTGAAGCATGAATGAAATGAGCGAATACATCTTATTTTGTTTTTGCACGAATTGATTTAATACAAATTAACGAAGGGAAACTTTATTTTTATTCTACAAGATTTGTTTTGATTTAGCATCATCCACCCAATTTTAAAAATCTTCTTTAGTATTCGAGCTCGCTTCAGATTATTCACATTTAGATTTCATTTTTCATTTCAATTAGAANCAGTTTCAGTTCCGCTGTTGTATTGCAACATATTTCACTAAATATATGACTAATGCGGGTTTTACTTAAAGGGAAAACGTCTTTGAATAAGATATTACGCAAACGATTGATTTTAGTGTTATAATACACTCACGTGATCGAAACTAGTAGCCTTCACTAGTAAATGTATTATTGCAATTCTTAAAAAGCAATTTATTTTTATTTTTTAGATTTAAATAATCTGATTTAAATATTCATATTACTTTTTATTTAATATTTTTATTGTCGCAAGACAATTGAGGAGCTTGATCCAAAAAGTACTACTGTATATTCCTTAATAGATGATTTTTAGAAACTATTGATAAAAAAAATACAGTAATATCCATATGACTAGTAGTTACAAAAAATACTGTTTCTACAAAATCCTCAAAGTATAAAGAATATCAATGAAAATCACTGTAATCCTCGATTTTATATAACACTCTTATTGTGAAAAACCGATATGGATGAAGAACCTTTCTACACTATTAAAAGTTCAATATGTTGAATATATGGAATCAAGACAATATGATCAAAAATATCATCAATTTTTGATTTAAACAAAATGAGCAATTATTTATTGTGGCATCGTCAGGATACCTGGCTGGAAAGTTTAATCATATTTTTAATTTGTTTAAATTAATATAAAATATGTGCNAAACCGATATGGATGAAGAACCTTTCTACACTATTAAAAGTTTAATATGTTGAATATATGGAATCAAGACAATGTGATCAAAAATATCATCAATTTTAGATTTAAAGAAAACGAGCAATTATTTATTGTGGCATCGTCAGGATACCTGGCTGGAAAGTTTAATCATATTTTTAATTTGTTTAAATTAATATAAAATATGTGCTCTCCACCTCAAATTAGTAGTGGCTTGCCTGTACATCATACTTTTCCGTTAGCAATAGAGTTGTGCCGGTCATCTATCTAACACCTTTCGGGAGTAAATTTTGAATTGAAATAACATGACCTCCGACTTGCATTAGAAGTTTGTATACAGTTAATCGGAAGCTTCCTGTTCCTAAAGTTTTCACAGCTGGTTTCGTCTTTCATCTACCTAACTCCGTTCTTGAGTTTAAGGAAAGACAGACAGACGGACAAACGNGTTGCCAGCTAAAACACGTAAAAATAATATTAAAGTAGCCAAGACATAGCCAAATATTGTAGCGCCACATCACTAGCGGACATTTGAAATTTGCCGACTAGGACGGTCGATTAACCGAGGGGTCGGTTGATCGGGGGGCGGATAATCGAGGTTCTACTGTATAACAAAATATGCTCTCCACCTCAAATTAGTAGTGCCTTGCCTGTACATCATACTTTTCCGTTAGCAATAGAGTTGTGCCGGTCATCTATCTAACACCTTTCGGGGGTAAATTTTGAATTGAAATAACATGACCTCCGATTTGCATTAGAAGTTTGTATACAGTTAATCGGAAGCTTCCTGTTCCTAAAGTTTTCACAGCTGGTCTCGTCTTTCATCTACCTAACTCCGTTCTTGAGTTTAAGGAAAGACAGACAGACGGACAAACGGACAGACAAATGGATAGACAATAGTGGAAATTTATAGGTCTACAAGTTTTTCAAATTGCAGCCCAACAAATAAATAAGAAAATTATTTTAAAGTTAATAAATTCATCTTTAACTCTCTCCCTTCCTTCCAGTGTGGACGTCATTTATGGGCAGTCTCTAAATTATAGGCGTCTGGATCTGGTTTACACCCAAATTTTCAAGGCACTAAGTTCATACTAGTGCTGTGCGATGCATCGATGTGACATCGATACATCGATGTTTTTGTTCGTCGATGCATCGACCTTCCGATGCTTTTGAAACATCGATCCTGAATCGATATTAGCAATATGTGAATTTCGATTCATCGATGCATGCAGTTCATTCTTTGTTGCTAATGTTACCTCCTGTTCGGTTTTCACCCGGACAGTCCGGGAATTTCGTAGAAATTGTGAAATTGCGATGAAACAAAGTTCTCGCAAATATGTTTACAAATTTACACTATTTTAACAGTGAATGAACTCACACTGATTGAAACTCATCTGCAACTCTGCCATGTTAGTCTGTTTACGCCGACTTGTGGCGCGCAACCTGTCTACTTTGAGGCCGGATGGCCAACGGTCAAGGTGGCAGCCTACCGCTCTGGGGAACCCGGGATCGAATCCGGACGGGTCAAGGAATCCCCAGGAATTTTTCGGGGGGGTGGTCTGTTTGGATATGTCAGGCCCCGTCCCTCACTACCCGGTCGCCCCATTGTGGGCCTAGCCGAACCCATAATGGGCCTGCTATAAAAGACCCTCTCAGTGCCCACAGGGCGAAAATAGTAAAAAAAAACCCTGTCGACTTTTTTTTTGCATGTACGATCGTACCGTATGAAATAGAGCTAAGTTATCTGTACCTGTTCTTTCTTAATTTAGGTTACTTACGTTACTCCTACGCAAGTCCCTAGTCCTTAACTGTAACTGATTTAGAACCGGCATGCACGTTATTCTTCGCATTGTAAAATGACATTGCGCATGCGTCAGGAACTTCTGTTCGAACAAACCCGGTTTTGTTTTTTTTTTTAAATTGTTTGAGTTTATCTTGATTGA